GAAATTCACTGGGTCGTGGTGGATGTGCTGCATGGCGTGGACATTTCCCTGCAGCTCCTCAGAGTAATGCCTCCCTGATTGGGGTGCTTCACCCTCTGAAGAGGGATGAACGGTGGCTTCTCCTGGCTTGGCTGGATGGGGTAAGGTTTGGTACCCTCACCACGTCTCTCACCTGGGTCTAGCTACCTCTCTTCCTCTGCTATTTTTCCCATAGATTTTGCATTGCATCCATTGCTTACGAGACTGTTGCTTTGTCTTTTTTGGAGCAGGAGAGTTGTGCAAGGAATAGCTTCAGCTGCCGTGTTGGGGCTTTCTCAGGTGCTTGTGAATACTTAAGCTCTCCACAGTCTCCCTTCCCCATCAACTCTTTTTTTTTTTTTTTTTTTTTTTTTTCGTTCTCCGAGCTGGCTGAACCATAAGAGCTCTCGTCTCGTACGTGGTTATTTGCAGCTTACCTCGATTTGGCACGCTCACCTTGCCATTCGATGTGCTTTGCACGGATCTATTTGGAAAAGACTCGTTCAATTTGCTTGTGACGTTGGCTTTATTTCAAATGCACCTTTCCCTGTTGGACCGCTCCTTAAATCTGGGACATGTTTCCTCCTTCTGTGCAGAGATGACTGGGCGGCTGCCCAGGGTCCCCCGGCTGATCGCTCTGCGGGTAGCGCTGCTCAGAGGTCTCTGGTGTCGTGGTCACATCGAGAGTCTGGGGCTGTGATTTAACTGCTCTCGTTGCTGTGCTTGTGGAGCCCGTAAAGCAAAAGCAGAATGAGCTAGCATGTGGAGAAGAAAAAAACCTGAAGGAAGGGAGAAATGAACACAACCCCCCATGTTTTTAAGTAGCTGAGCTGGTTTAAGTGTTAGTAATACCCCCCTGGGAGCCACGTTCTATCCGTCTGCCCTCAGCTAGGGCTGGGGTGAGAAGGGGCCGATGGATGAAGTAGAAGAGCGCAGATGATGCTCCTGGTGAGTAGAGCTCCTCTGGGAAAACCTGCCTGGCCTCGGGGCGCCGGACGGGTAGCCCCATGTATCTCCAGCCTCTGGCTTCTGGGTTATTTGTGCTGGGATGGCCTCGTCTGGTGTCTGTGGCTGCCCTGGGCTCTGCCACTGCGGTCTTGGTCCCCTCTGCCCCATGTTTTGCTGCTCAGACCGAAATGCTTCAGGGAGGCGGCTGCTGGTGTGCATCAGTGCGGCGCAGTCCTGGCTGCGGTGTTGGGGACACCGGTGACGGGGGGTGATGGTTACGCTGGAAGGGGCCAGCTGGAGGGAAGGATGTGTCTCAGTACTGGAATCTCTCCTGAGTTGTCGGAGGAATGATATAAAATACTATGGAAGATCTTTGCTCATTAAGACTTTCTTCTGCTTATAAGAGAGGGCTACCTTGAACTACAGACAGGAATGAATTGCACACTAAAACTACTGCTTCATCAAGAGGGTTTTGCTTGGGTGTTTGGAGTGGGTGAAGGGTGGAATCATAAAGGCCAGTGAGAACAACCAGGCAATTAAAGCGCAATTAAGTGAGCTGCCTTTTGAGATGGTAGGTGTTTCCTGTCATGTTTTCCAACGGGCTGGTCTTAGTTGCTTGTCTGCACGGGATGATGAGACTTGATCTCTCACACTTTCCTCCTCATTTCAGGTTTCCACCATATTCTCATCGGACACTGCAATGGGCCCTTCCCAGCTCGGCCTCAGGATGCTGGTATAGCAGCAGGCGGCTGCGATCCAGAGGACCTGTGGTGGGACATCGTTTCCCGCTGAGACGTCCTTCACCCCCTCTCTCTCAGCAGAAGCGATGGATGCCCACGTGGACCTCCTGACAGAGCTGCAGCTGCTGGATAAGGTGCCCACGCTGGAGAGGCTGCGGGCAGCCCAGAAGCGGAGGGCTCAGCAGCTGAAGAAATGGGCGCAGTATGAGAAGGAGATGCAGCACAAGAAGAGGAAGCATGAAAAGAAGAGAAATGCTGTTAACCGAAAGAAAGTGTCTTTCGAAGCCAGCGTTGCCCTGCTGGAGGCTTCTCTGAGGAACGACTTGGAGGAAGGTACGGCACTTGTATCTGACAATTTCTTTGTCTGGCTACGTGCGAGGTCCGTGTAGCGCTGTGGTGTACAAGGGCATCTGTGTTGACATCCGTGGACTGAACTACCCTTGACGTGGTGTTGGTCTCTAGAGCGTTGCCATCTCTGATATAGCCATGGGGTCCTCAAAGCACTGTGTGACACCAGCGTTACCTAGATTGACATCGGGAGTGGGCGCACGAATGCCAGGATGGGGCAGGAGTTACGACCGAGATTTGGGGAAAGGGAGGCGGCTTTCATCTCTTTCCTTTTCACACTTTCTACTTCCAGAAGGTGTGAAACACTTCTATACCTTCTGGGTGCGCTTCTTTATAGAAGTCTGTCACAGGGATTTACATGTCAGTGTAAATCTCTTTAGCTTCCCTGCTTAGGGGGATGGATTGAGAGCTACATGGATGTATGAATTTTTTCCCTATTCAAAATACTGAAAAGCATGGCTTTGCTTAATGCTTCCTATAGAAGAGAACTGCAAATTGTTCAGAAATTGTTTTAATTGCACCATTTCAAAGTGGATCAAAGTGCTTTGCTTTTGCTTCAAAATCTAAAGGGAGGAAAAAAAAAAACCGTCTAAAAGTCAATCCCCATTAACCTCAGCACAGCATGGGGGAAACCCTGTAAGCGCTGGGGAGCCAGAGCTTACCTCTCTGCAGAGAAGTAAAGACATTTCTCGGAGGAGAGCTGGGGCAGCCTTTGGGGTTGCCACTCTGCCGGGTAGCGAAATTGCTGTGATCTTCCTCATCCCTTGGCATGGCAGAGACAAGGAAGATGCTTAGGAAACCTGGCCAGTTGAGTTGCATCTCTGCTAGTGAATGTTGCTCTAGTTTCCAGCATCTTTTGCAAGAAGCAGTATATATTTACCTGGTATGTGGGTGGAAGGCAAGGACCTCGTCTTGTCTTGTTGAGGAATCTCCCCAAAGTCATGTCCCTGTTTCTGAGAAGGCCTTTTGTGCACCGTGACTTGTCCTTGTGTGCATGTTTTTCACCTGTTTGGAAATGGAGCACTTTGGTGGTGCTTTGGACAGTGATGCCTGCCTGGGCGGTGTGTTACAAGTGTTTGCCAAGCCCTGCTGTGCCTCTGTGGTTTTGTGTGCATTTGTGGCCTCTCTCTGGGAAATGTGATAATGCCCTGGAAACTGCAGGCTTTTATTTCTTTCTTCCTTGCTTTAAAGGTTGAACAGTTGCTTCCAGCTTTTTGCTCCAGTGAACCTGTGTTTCTCACTCTGAGCCGTTGTAGTCTTCTAGCAGAGCCCCAACAGTGAAGCCAACTAGAGCCCTACTGTGAAATTGTCTATTGACATTGCCTGAGATGGCATTTATGGCCTCAAGTTGTGCCAAGGGAAGTTTAGACTGGACATTAGGAAAAACTTCTTCACTGAAAGAGTGGTCAGGCCTTGGAACAGGCTGCCCAGGGAAGTGGTGGAGTCACCATCCCTGGAGGTATTTAAAAGATGTGTAGATGAGGCGCTTAGGGACATGGTTTAGTGGGCATGGGGGTGTTGGGTTGACGGTTGGACTTGGTGATCTTAGAGGTCTTTTCCAACCTTAATGATTCTATGATTCTATGACTTGTATTGCCTCTGCCTGTGCTGGCAGATACTTGGCAGGGTATGGCTTTGGGTTTTGTACCCAGCTGCCCACTGTAAGTGGCAGGTCACAGCGTTGGGGTGGATAACGGGCATTTCATCATCATCCTCGCCGTGCAGCGACGGTGCCTCTGCTCAGCACTTGGGCTGGAGAGTGTGATGGGGCCAACGGGTCTGTGAAAGGCTTTCTGCGCTTTCTGGCTTTGGATCTGGGCAGTTTGGAGGAAAGCTCCTTCACTGTCTGCCTTAGAAATACTTTTTTATTTTGCGAGATGCACAAATGGCAGAGGTGTTTGCAAAGACGGCACTGGTGGAGGGTAGTTGTGCACCCTGACGGCAGTGAGCAGGCAGGGCTGGCGTGCGTTCAGGCAGCGGCGTTAACGTACAGATGTCAGAGGTCCTGTGGACGACCGTCTTGCACCACGTGTGGACGTGGATACTTTGCTGTTGGGGGTGCAGGAGTTGAGCTTTCAGCTCACAGCTTCACTCTTTTCCTCCTGTAAGGGAAAATCCATTGCTGCAGGTCTCTTTTGGTACTATAGTCGTGTTGACCTCTTTCCGTAGGCGAGCCCAAGTAGCGGGCTTTAACCATCGGTGGCTCTTTCCGATGCGATGCTGGTTACACCAAACGTGATAAAGGCACTTTCCTGCTCGGTGGAAAATCAACCTCTCCACCGGCCAGAGAGGGCAGGGCAGCATCCCCGGTGCCATGGGTGCTTCCCCTCTGTAGCTGGATTTTTCAGATGCCTCAAGTTTTTAAATTCGATTTGTTTTGTGGTCAATTAATTTAAGTCCTAAAAATAGTGTGTGGGCAGTTTCTGTCCCTGCTCTGCCCCCTCTGTGCTGTGGGACCAGTATAAAGGGGAGGAGGGGACAGAGTCAAACCCAGATGCCAAACTGGGAAAATTCCTTATCAAGTGCCCTAGGCCAAAGTGAGGGAATTCGTGAGCTTTTGGAGGTCCCGGGTGATTATTTTGGCGTATGAATCATCTTTTGTTTCCATGTGGGAAGTGGAGAGGGAGGTGGAATATAAATGATTAAGAAGTTGAGAAGTTCGCGTGAGGAGGGTTAGAGCGCTGGGGGTGCAGCTGGCACGCGTCACCTCCGAGCTACCCCTGAGCGGGTGTGCCATTTCCATTCTTTGTTACTTTTCTGTACTTCTGTATTTATTTTTAACGTTCCCACTCCTGAAGTGGGAGAGGGAATGGTAGTAGGCGCTATGCAATGAAATCGGGGAAGAGAAAGCCGGGTTGGATAGCGAGTTGGCTCTTTGTCCGGAAGGTGTCTTGTGCTGTGGTGTAACCTCCCGGTGCAGGCGGTGGGTCGAGCATCCTGGAGTCGGTGGGTGCAAAACCCTGCCCTGCTCTTCAGGGAGCAGCCCCGTGCCCTGAGGACCTGGACGTGCTGACTTCACTGTCCTTTGCCTGCGCCTTGCCCAGGTGTAACTGAAAGAGCAGCGCTCATTTTGCTGAGCTCCCGTGCACCCGCGGGTATCTGCAGCACCTTCCCTCATCCCCATTTCTTCTGCCGTCGATGGCACGGCCAGCGGGCTGAGCCACCCCGGCTTCCCACCTAGCCTGTGACCTCCCTGGCTCTGCAAATGTAATGGCCTCGGAGAAGAGGACTTCTTTCCCATGTGAAAAATCCAGGTTCGTCTGCAGCTGACGAGTCCACGGGTGACTGGGTGTGTTGCAGAGTTGCTGTACCTCAGCGTGGAGGTGAAGCAGGGCTGAAGGCAAGGGCTCCTGGGGAGCGTCAGCCCCGGCGTGGGCAGGAGCTGCGAACGGGTGAAGGCTCCTGCCTGTTTGTTCCTTGCATCTTCTGCAACAGATCTGTCAAAATATCCCAGGTTTAACAAACAAGCTGCTATTAAAAGCTCCTTTGGATCCCTGCTGACAGAACCAGGGTAGGGAGCGCTCCGCGAACACGCTGGTGGCAGATGAGAGTGGACAGTCACGCTGGGGAGAAGTAGGTGATGGGCAGCGATCCCAGACCGAGGGCAGCAGTCCGCCTGGGCTGCCGTGGGCTGGCTGGGACCTTTGGTTTGGAAAGCTGAAATATCTACAGACAGTTCATGGGTGAGCTCGGAGGTGAGAGCAGAGCACTCCCAGTTGCCCCACTGGAGCTGCTCCGCTCTCCCCTGTGGAGGAGCTGGGAAGGGCATGCTGCGGAGGGGCATCATGCACTATCACTGTTTTAAGTAGAAATATGTCCAAGCCTTCACCCAGCTCCAGGCACGATCTGAGCTGGTTGCAGGGGGACGGTGCAAAGGGCAGGGCGCTCAGTCCGTGCAGAGCTCGCAGGGAGCGGCAGTGTTGTATGCAACCTCTGGGCTGGTCTGCTGGCTGCGAAGGAGAGTTGCTTTATAATGCAATAAAGCAATGCTTTGTAAGCTACCGTACTAATCGCAAAGAAATTGTGAGGGCTGTTGAACAATGTGGCCCTTCGAGGCCGTCCTGCAAGGTGATGGACTGAAACCATAGGGAGGAGGCTGGTCCCACTGTTCCCGGGGCAGCACCTCATCCCCGAAAGCAGCCCCGGCTGCTGCAGGGCTGTGGTGTCCAGATCTTTCTACATCGCTGAGCTCCTAGAAAAGCAGCCCCAGGGCATGGGGAGAAGAGCTGGTGTTCTGTAAATCAAAAAAAGAGATCCCAGAGGTGGGTAAAGTGGCAAGAGGTGGGTAAATGCCTGTACAGACGTGTGGCATTTGCTGCCTGCGAGTCCCTTTGCACACCCAGGCCGTTTGCCGGGGGAGCTCCCACTTGAATGACGGGAGCTGGAGGTGTTTGCGTTAGCTGGGGGGTGAGCTGTGCTCCCTTCGGCGAACTAACGGAGAAATAAAGGCCCCGAGGGACCGATTCACCTTCCCACAGCGCTGGAGGTGCCCTGGTTTCTCCTGCTCTCGGATGAGAGCTGCCTCCCCGCGGGCGCCCGCTGCCGCCCCGGCCGTGGCTCCGGGAAGCATCGCTGCAAAGTCCTTCAGCTCCCACCTTCTGGCACTTCATCCTGCAAGCAAAACTTTGTCAGAGCCAGAGTGTTGCATAAAAGAGCTTTTCTGCGGAAGTTTAACCGTGCAGATCCTTATGGCTGGTGAGCCAGAAAGTGAACGAAAACTCAGGTTTGGTGACCTTGGACTCGGCATCCAGCAAAACGGTTGCCGTTAGCAGAGCAGCGGGCGCAGGCTTGGGGCTCGTTGGGTCCTGCACCAGCGTGGAGAAGATTTCCCCGGGGAGGGTGTAAGTATTGCACAGCTTATTCGTATAAATACATCCCCCACGTTTCCCTTCATGCCGACCCTTAAATCTCTTGTAAGTGGGCGGTAATGACGAGCGTGGTGAACCCTTTTAGGAGCCATCCCCAGGCAGCTCCTACTGCGCTCC